TTTGACATTATATGTTACTGTAATAACTAATGGTGAACAAGTGCTTATGTAATGGCATTAGTAATGAATTAGTACCAGCTTGAACATGATATGATCAGTTTTAGATCCAGTTGTTTGTAGTCGACCCCCCTCCCCCGAGTGAGAGAGACTGTTTTTTACTTGGTTTTATTTGTATAAAAGGAAAAAACAAAAAAAACATTGAAAACTAGATTTTTTTTTATTGACAGCGATTGACTGTCTGTGACGTAGTGCAGGTTTGGAGATTTATTATTTTAAGTTAAAAAAAAAGTTTAGTATTTGACTTTCTGTACTTTAATATAGACTGACAAATGTGTTGTTGTTTTTGTTTTGTTTTTTCCTTAAATGGCGTCAACAGTAACACTTCTTCATCTCTGTAGGTACGCTGCATGTTGAACATTTGGGGTGTAATGCTCTTCATTCGCATGTCCTGGATTGTGGGCCAGTCTGGAATTGGTAAGTAGAAAGCTGTCCAACTTAAAGAAATCTGCAACTATCCTTTGAAGCACCGCTCCTCTCTAAAACCGCAATAAGGATCATTATTAGGTTATTTACATTATTATGTAAATGTTGGTATTGGGTCATTAACATTTTAAGGCGCTTAATGTGGAATCTGTTTGCATCTACATTAGCATTAAAATGAGAGCCAGGGTTGGCATGATACTAGAATTTCAAGCCAGATCCTGATAGCCAAGGAAATACTCGGTACCTGTTTTCATTTCTTGAATATGTTAACTTTAATTATAACTTTGGTTTAACAAAATAAGCATTTACAATTACGTTAAGTGATTTCATTTGTACAAATGGTTTACAGAAGGTAAAATGTATTTTAAAACATACTAATTAACAAAGATTAAATAATACATAAATTATATAATGATTGTAGAGTATTATGGAAAAGCTAAAAATGAATTTGGAGAAATGAATAGTAGTGTAGTATTAGTCACACACAAATAAAGAATGTATAAAAACACAGAGTACTTACTGCAAAAGATTGAACCAGTCACTCCCTGCATTTTAAAACTGACCACACAGTAATTAAAGGAATACAAATAAATAAATTATTGTAAGAGTAGAAAGTTTTAAGCTCGTCTTCATGCTTTTTCAGAATTCACACTGCTGCACGTTTACAGTCTGCAACTCCTTATATCTTCAGCTTTGCTCTTCAAACCTGAAACCTGTCTGAATTGGCTCCTCTGATCCAGATTTCACACTTTAGTTCTCCACACTCTAGACCAGACATCTGAAAGTAATTTTATATTATTGGCCACAAACAATAATTGTTTGTGCTAATAGTTAAATGGCCATTGTTAAAATGTGCACTAGTCAATTTAACATTTATGGCTTTTTAATACTTCAGTATTGATACCGGGACACTACTGGCTTCTGACCCCTTACCCCTGCTGGGCAAATGGCCACCCCTCCATGAGCCTGGTTCTGCTGGGAGTCCTTCCCACTGTCACTAAAGCGCCTCTCTCAAAGGGGATCAGTGGGTAAAATAAACATTGAACACATTACCAATCTAAGTAAATGTATTTCTAAGGCATAAAAGTCATGACTCCAGCTCAAATAAGCATGATTTAGAAAGCAGCCCCACCACTTAGTGCAAATTAATGTCAGCTGGTTCAGTCAGCTGGTTCAGTCCCCGCAGATGGCCCATGTAAAGGTCTCTCCAAAAAACAAGGTGTCACACAAGAAACATCTTTTGATGGGTAAAAATAAGCTCTCTCAAGATGTTTGTGACCTTATTACTGTAAAACGTGATGATAGCATCGTGCCAGAAGAATTTCTAAAGGCCAAAATGCGAAAGTGGAAAGAACATCATTTCAACCTGAACCAGCCACAACCAGGTGCTCCGCACAAGATTTCAAACAGAGGCGTGAAAAGAATTTTTCAGAAGAGTTGTCCCAGAGCCAAGAACCACTTGAGCCAAAATCAATAGTTACAACTGTTTCAAAGAAAACCATCAATAATGCACTAAACCACCAAGGCCTGTATGCTTGCTCACCATGCAAGACTCCACTGATTGCATGGTGCAAAAAGCATGTTGAAGTGTGTTTAAAGTTTGCTGAAAAAGATGGAGGCAAGTCTGTTTAATCCTGGGAGAATCTAGTCTGGTATGATGGGACCAAAATTGAACATCATGGTTTGGGGCTGTTTTTCACCACACAGCACTGGCACGCTTCATGTAATTGAAGGAAGGATTAATGGAAAAAAAATGACTGAGATGTTCTTAAAAAGACAAAAAACTCAACATAAAAACGCAGCTGCCATCTACCAGGGTTATGATAAAAAAATGAAACAAGGTTTACGGTATTAAGTATTACTTTCCAGAAAACCTAGCAAGGTGCATATGTCTCATTGCCCCTTGTTTATTGACAGTTTTGTGTTCATCACTTTTTCTCTGCTAGCTCATACTCAGCTAAGCCCAATATTCCTAGCCTCCTGGCACTTGTTGATCATTTTCCACTTTGATGTGAAATATCACCACAACGTGAGACGTGCGACAGACGTTGCTGCATTGGCTTGTCCTGTTACTTTTTACAGAGACATGAGAGTGATTGGAAGGGCTGCTAAAAACTGTTAAGTATTATGCATTTTTTTTTTTAATCATTTCACGATGTGGTCTCTTCTGCAGCTCTTTCCTGTGTGATCGTCGCCATGGCTACAGTAGTGACAACCATCACTGGCCTCTCCACCTCTGCCATTGCCACCAATGGATTTGTAAGGGGAGGTATGTTTTGCTTGACTGAATGACTGACTTTGCATGACTGACTTTGCATGACTGAACTTTTGCTAACACTCCCTGCTATTTTCAGGTGGAGCATATTACCTGATTTCAAGAAGTCTTGGCCCAGAGTTTGGAGGCTCTATTGGTCTTATCTTCGCCTTTGCCAATGCAGTGGCTGTTGCCATGTATGTGGTGGGCTTTGCTGAGACTGTTGTGGAACTTCTGATTGTAAGTCTATTAGGATTTCACATTGAATTCAAGAAAGCTGCTAATTACGGCTGATCAGTGATCAGCAGGAGTGGGTTGTCCTGGCATCATTGAGAGAGAAAAGCACATATCAAAACACTGTTTGCTGATTATTGTCATTCAATTTACCAAGTCCTTGTATTTTATCTCAGGGTATGGATGCCGTCATGACAGATGAAGTCAACGATATCAGAATAATTGGCACCATTACAATAATCATTCTTCTGGGCATCTCTGTAGCAGGAATGGAGTGGGAGGCCAAGGTATGCACAACATCCCAATTCATAGAAACTTACACATATATGAAACTACATTAAACATGAATGTAGCCAAAGTAGTGACACTCACTGGTTGTAAAATTTGTTTTTTATAAAGACTTAAGTTCGGTCTTATTGTGTGCATGTGTGATTGTGTTGGGAGGTGGGGGGGGGGTCCACACAAAAATCAAAATTTGAAGGTAACACGAAAATCTTCAGTTTACTTTGTTGGCAAGCTGTTAGCAAGTTTCGCAAGCTAAACCAATACAGGATTACACTCCAAAATTTGGCAACTTAGAAAGCTGGAAAATGTTTGTAATTCTGTTGCTGCTTACTCTAGTGATCTCATACTGCCTTCATGGGGTGTTTTGTTTTTTTGTCCTTTGGGGTTTTTTCCCCCCTCTAAACTGAACAAGCCCATGTTGGTGCATGATGTGCCCGTGTGCTCGCCTCTGTTCCAATGTTGTTAATTTTGCTTGATGCTGGAAAGCTTTTAGAGTGAGTTTTTCAAAGCATGGCAGCCAAAAACGGTTTTATTGCTATATTTGTGTTATTGCTGTGTAGGGTCTTTATCTTACAACATAACGTATCTTGAGACACGAGTTGTTGTAAGTTGGTGCTATATAAATAAAACTGAATTGCACTGAATTTTACTATGAAGGCTGTGGTAACTTGGAATCGGTACATTGCAATCCCAAATACTGAAGACACCAAATAATCCCAGACCAATGTTTACATGAGACTCGGACAACCCTGCAGATATACTACAGGTGTAGTCGATTTAACTACTACACATTAATACACTGGTTTTAATTGCTTCCTATAGGCCCAGATCTTCTTACTCGTCGTCCTTGTCACAGCCATCTTCAACTATTTCATTGGAAGCTTCATTCCTATCAAGTCAAAGGAAGCTAAGGGATTCTTGGGCTATGATGGTAGGACGTTTGTTTGTTTGTTTGTTTGTTTGTTTGTTTGTTTGTTAAAAAATAATATAAGAAACACCTCATAAATCTGAGGGCTCATGTTGGCTTTTACACTGCTGTGTCACAGTTGGCCTTTGATCTTTTTTCTGTCAGCTTCAATAATGTGGGAGAACATGGGTCCAGACTTCCGAGGAGAGACGTTCTTCTCTGTGTTTGCCATCTTTTTCCCCGCCGCCACTGGTATTCTGGCTGGAGCCAACATTTCAGGAGACCTTGCTGTAAGTCATGTGCAACCATGTGATGAATGTTGATATAGTGTCAAACCAAGTAAAGGTTTACTTTGTAGATTGTACTGTGCAGGTGAATATGACTATGCTTCCACTGATTAAGGCTGTTGAGACGGAACTCATAGCGTTGAATTGGCTGTAGGATTTGATGTACTCATCTTAAAGCCTTGTATCCAGTTATATATTGTAATCTTAAAATGTTGTTGTGGTTGGTTGTTGCAGGACCCACAGATGGCCATCCCCAAAGGGACCCTTCTAGCCATATTAATCACAGGGATAGTCTACCTGGGTGTTGCTATTTCAACAGGTGGTGTATAGTACCTGCATTTTTCCAAGGTTGTCACATCCTTTTTAAATACAAAATCTAATATGTGGATAATACTTTTTAAAAACTAGGCTCCTGTATTTTGAGAGATGCCAGTGGAAATGTGAATGACACAATCAGTTCTCACCTCATGGCAAACTGCTCCACTGCTGCCTGCAAATTTGGCTATGACTTCTCTACCTGCAAGAATGAGGATACCTGCCGCTATGGACTGCATAGGGACTTCCAGGTATCAAATAAGTGTAAAAGAATATGAATATTAAAAAAAACAACTTTATCAGAACATGAATGTTAATGGTTTTTTTAATGTAGACAGCTAACTTTTCAATTTACATGTAATCTTTTGTTCAGGTTATGAGCCTTGTTTCTGGTTTTGGGCCCATCATCACTGCTGGCATCTTCTCTGCCACTCTATCCTCAGCACTGGCCTCTTTAGTTAGTGCACCTAAAGTTTTTCAGGTAAGATCAGATCCAAGCTTTAAAGTACTGTATATAATAAATTGCAGTATTGAGTGATGGAAAAATGTAAATGATTTAATCAGTTTTTCTTATAGCGTTTGATTATAAACGGCTTAAACTCCAGTGAGACAACACAAAGGCTTTTGTTTCCGCAGGCTTTGTGTAAGGACAACATCTATCCTGGCCTGCAAATGTTTGCCAAAGGCTACGGCAAGAACAATGAACCCCTACGAGGATACATCCTGACCTTCGGTATCGGTCTGGCCTTTATCCTCATTGGTATGGCTTCACTCATTGCTTGCTCGCTGGTTGCTTTTCATACTTGATCACATACAACCGTACAAAAATATTAGCTGGAAAGTAAGAGCACCGTGGTTCTCAGAACCCTTGTTCTCTTTTGTGAGAACCGGTGTATTCACGCAGTGTTTGTTCTAAACAGAAAAAACCCACGTTGGTGCATGCTGTACTGTGCCCTTGCCTAAGGGATATTTAGAATGATGTCATGATACTAGAATTTTAATCACGATATCTATACCCAGAAAAATACTCTATACCAAAGGGAGACTTTTGACCCCATGCTGAAACAGAAGAACTAGTGGCCAAGAAGTCATTTCTTAAAAAAGTTACGTTGTCAGCTTTCTAAAATACAGCAAGTAAAATAGATAAATAAGTAAATATATTTCTAAAGGTGCTATTGACATGATGTTCTCATCAGGTGTTGGTGACAAACCATCCAATCCACACTTTCAAAGAAACCCTGTGTGATCTCCAAGTATTAAAGCCACTTACTGAAATTTGTTTAATACTTCAAACCAAGCCTTTGTTGGCGATGACAGCTTCAAGATGCCTCCTGTATGGGAAAGCTAGTCGTAGGCATGGCTCAGATGTGATTTTGGCCCATTCTTTTCACACAGTCTTCTTTGTATGTTTGGATTGGATGGGCTGTTGCCAATATCTGGTGAGATTTCATGTCAGTAGCACCTTTAATTACTTTGAAAACTGGTGATGTGTTCAATACTTGTTTTACCCCCTTTATTTGATTTTAGGTTTTAAAACCTGACGAGTCTAAATATTGTAATTATTGTAGAAGAAGAACATCATGGAAAACTTTCAAATGTACCTTGGTGTGTAGTATTAGTTATGCTAAAATAAATATAATGAAACAGAGGGCTTGATGTGAAAAGGATTGAACCAGCAAACAATAAAATAAGACACATAATGATAACACAGTGTAATAAATTGTTGTAGAATGGTTAAATTTTACGTCTTGTCCACATCTGCGACCTCTTGAGCGGACCTGGAGGGCCTCTCTCATCCAGCACTCACACTGCTCAGCCCCAGTCTGCAGCTGTATATTGGCACCTCCCCCTCTGTAGGCCTGAAACCCACCTGATTCAGCTGCTCTGCTCCACATTTCATTCTTTGTTTGCTTGAACTGATACAGAACCAGGATCATTACTGCCCTCTGAAATACATCCTAAAGTGTTGTCAGTTTTATGAACATGGCAACTGGTCTAAAATTTGACAATAACTCTTGTCTGTAGTTTTTGTTTGTTTGTTTTATTGCAAGCTCCTAATAAAAACACTTTTACAGACCAGTGAACTAAATTGATATTGATACAACAGCTGTTGAAAACTTTACCTTTTTAGATGCCTAAATATTTAAAATTTTACAGTAATAGCGCACTGCATGACCACATGCTGGAGTCAGCAGCAGCCGATATGTTCACTGTCTTCATCCTGAGAGTTTGAGTGTTTATTCAAAGGGTTTTGTTTTGTTTTTTGTTTGTTTGTTTTTTTTGACTGGACATAAAATCACAGGTGAAATTTTTAACTTTTCTGAGTTGACTGGTGCTTTTCTTCTTGCAGCTGAGCTGAACACTATTGCACCCATTATCTCCAACTTTTTCTTGGCATCATATGCCTTGATCAACTTCTCCGTGTTCCATGCATCACTGGCTAACTCACCAGGTAAGATCAGTACATTTAGAAATGGGAGAATCTAAGCATAATAAAGTTCTTGATCAACATATTAAGACAATAGAGGAAGTTATTGTCATCCTAATCCAGACTGTAAGAAGGAAGCCTTCATGTCATTAGGTATAATGTTGTGTTTTTTTAAAACCAGTTACTGGTTTTCAATGAGACTGTCCTGATGTGTGTCTCATAAGAGAAGTCATTCACACTGATGACATACCAGAGGTTAGGTGGTTGAATATATTTAGGCTTAGAAGTTGATGCATCTTAAACAAAGAAAATTCAATTTGGACAGTTGATCATAAATATAGAAAGCATATTGTCATTAATCTCCTAAGACCCGAACTCTTCCACTGCATGCATTGTTAATCTCTCTTTGATATTTGGACATATTGGGGCCTGATGAATGTAAAAACAAGGAATTAACAGATTTTTTTCTTTTTTTTTTTTTGCCTTATTTTTGTTTTTAAGAAAAATGAGAGCCACATATGAGCATATTAGTTTAAAATTTTGATAGAACAGGAGCAGTATAATGTCCTTGTAAGTGGATATCAGGCCCTTGTAGAGCAAAATTCAGTATTTTGGTCTAAATAACCCAAAATGTGATGATGAGGTTAATGTTGTAACTATATTGGGACAGTACTGTTACACAAGAAGGTAGGTGATGTCTGTTTCCTCTAATGTTAGTCTTTGTCAACCACAAAGGGCTAGCCAAATGAAAGTTGTTTTTAGACTATTTACTTCCACTTGTCTGAAAGAAGAACCTCAGTTAAAGTCAAAAATCTCAAACTGCCC